TTTTATCTTTTAATAGGTAAATGTTTCAAATACTAATCTTAGTTTACTTAGTCTTTAATAAACTCCAAAGAAATAATATATAATAGTATCTATTAATAAAATAATAAAGAAAACTCAAAATCTCTAGTCTTTAGTTTAGTTGCAGTCTTTAGTGATTGCTGTGCGGAAGGTCATCATAAAAAGAATGGCAACTAGATGGCAATACACTTTTTAGGTCTTGCAAATCTTGATACTTCCGCTTTGTAATTGGTATTCTAGCTGCGTACAATTTTTGCAAGCTATTTATTTGTTTAATGCTGTTAATTGCCGTGGGACGATGTGGTAACGGGTGAAGCTCGTCATCAAAACTAACTTTATACCAAATTGTGCCATTTGGTCTGTATTCTAGCATACGTAAATCTGTGACGACAGGGTCACCTACTTTTTTACCAGGCCTTATAGATTTATAAATCAATTCTTTCGAAAAGTCTGTGAAAAAGGTATAATCTAAATAACAAGCTTGGTAAGGCATAGGATCACTCCTAGCAGTTTTACTTATAGCCATGTATTGTTGTGGAAGGTAAATTTCTTTACCTTTTAATTTACACTCTATGGCACTATGTACCGAATCACATTCCATGTGAGTATGGCCTTTTTCCAGGTACTTTTGAGTAATCACAATATTTTTTTCAATCGCTAAACGTAATAAAGCATTGCTTAAGGTAACATTGCGATTTTGAGCACAACAACCATCGGAATATAAAACCACAGGCAATAATTTCAGACTCAAAACCTTCTCTAGATGGTCTACTAAGCATGAAGCAAAAACAGAGGCTTCAAGCGTACTATTTGACTCATCGAACCAATAACACATTACTTCCTTAGTTGCTATATTGTATAATGTAAAATTATGGACGCATAATTTAGTTTTATAATAAATTGCACTAGCTTGAAGATACGGGGCCAATTTTACCGATTCAACATCCTGTGTGAATACGTGACAAGCTCCGGACTGTGCAATTCCTTTGTCAGTATCTTTTTCTTTCCTGGCTCGATCTTTCTTCAGAACATGTTGAGCGTATTCTTCATCAGTAATGTTTCCAGTTTTATGACTGCAACAAACGTCGCATTGATCCTTCTTTGGGTGGAATAGGCTCAAATTGAGTTTCAAAAATAATTTGTCAAATAATTTACGCCCAAGGCATTCTCTACCCTCTAATTCACAATTATCTTTATATGCGTGATAGAGCTGTGTCATGTTCGAGAAAATTGGTTCTAAATATTCTCGTGATGTTTTAGCACGACAGTAATGTGACGGCATCTTTGGAAGATCTCCTAAAAACTTTTCAACATGTTTGTGGTCTTCAATTTTCTCTGGATTTCTGCGATTACTGGTTGAAGAAGACACATCGGGAGGCATAGCACAATCGGTTTTTGTCAACCAATATCTTATAAACCAATCTTTAATTCCAAGAGTGGCCAAGAACATTTTTTTGCAGACTTGGTGACGTACATTATCAATCGTCAAAACGTAAGTTCGACTATCAGTTCTTTTGGATGATTCTGGATTTTTTGTAACTTTCTTTGATACTTTGTTAACGTGAGAAGTTATAAATGATCTTCGCTGCTCCCAGTTCATGTTCTTCCAGAAATTGTCAAACAAATATTTTCGCTGTTCCTCGTTTATGTTGTCACATGACCTGAGTTTGGATTTCTTGCAAAACGCAGAAGTGCAGGGTGGTTTCATGGATCTTGCAGGCTTAAATACGTCTTGTTTCACTTTAAATTTTTCATTAGTCTTTGCTTTTCTGTCTCTTCTGTATCCTAAATAACTTTCACCTTTCATCCGTAATTCTTTATTTATATTGCGTTTATATTTATTTGGATCTTTTGACGCCTTGTTCTGTCTTTTTTTATTACTTAACAAATCCCCGTGATAAGGAATATTGCTGAGTATGACCACTTTTGAAGAACATGATGGAGTAGCAGAGACACTGGATTGCTGTATATTGGTTTGGGTTGTTTTATTTTCATCTATTATATCTGTATCTGTGTTAATTACTATATCCGAAACTGGGTCTTGAGTAGGGAAAGCTTCAATGTGAATATTTTCTAGTTCTTGTACAACGTTCTCATTTTCTACCGAGATATTGGCTACATTCAATGCAAAAGACTGAGGATTGTTGATGGTCACTGTAGCAAATTCGGGTGGTATATATTGAGTTGTTTTATTTTCATCTATTATATCTGTGTTAATTACTATATCCGAAACTGGGTCTTGAGTATTCGTAGGTAAAGCTTCGATATGAATATTTCCTAGTTCTTGTACAACGTTCTCACTTTCTACCGAAATATTGGCTACATTCAATGCAGAAGGCTGAGGATACTCGATGGTCACTGTAGCAAATTCGGGTGGTATATGTTGCAGATCAAAGAAGTCATTACCAACTTTTTCTACAACTTGTAGATTGTGAATGTCAATGTTTTCAATATTATCCAAGTCTATGTTCTGGTCAAATATTGCGTTTACATTATCCTGGCTACTTATAATACCTTTTATGGACTCCCCGAAGTTTTGATCATTTATTGGTGTTGCAATAGTTTCATTTTTAGGAGGATCTTTTTGATTCACATCTAAAATAAATAATAGGAATTATTAAAAACATAAATAACAAAAATAAAATTCGGACCTCAAAACAAACCCATAGTACTTACCTAGTTTAATTATTTTATTATCTTCTTTGCAACTTTGTTTACGCCGTTTATGTTTTGACATCAGTCCTGATTTTTGTAGTTGGGCACATAACCATTCATCACCTGAACCCAGATCACTCCAGGAATCAATTTCTTCTCCATCCATAGCGCCTTTCAATTATTGAGTTTCCTAAAAAAATAACAAATTTGAAACACCATTTCAATCATAGGATTTCATAACAAGCTTATATTATTATTAACTGAGTCGACAGAAAGTCGTAAAACCCCCGACCAAGAATCTAAAAACTACTGAACCGATTTTGATAAAACTTTCAATTTTGTGTAACACACATCACAAGCTTTCATTTGATACCCATATTTGTGGAATCCTAAACACATTACCCTCCTCTTTGGCAGTCAGGTAAAAAATAACAAATTTTGAAACACCGCCTAAGTTAAGAAAAAATTGTTAGTAAACACCGCCTAAGTAAGTAAGGATATTATTTGATCATTTATTTCTAAATTAATACGCGTACATCAATAAACATTACTTTATTCTATAGCTTACCTCTTAATCTTCTATTAAAACTACTTGCAAGAACGTTCCAGCGATAAAATTCACTTAAAAATAGAAAAAACACAGAGCGCGAAGTATTTTCCGCGAAATTATGACAGACTAACGACTTGTGCGGTGTTGCGACGCCAACCGACTTGAGCGCTGTCACTATTTTTTGAATTACGGCTTCTGATTGGCCGAAATCTATTTCATGAGACCAATGGTTCGACGCGCAATGCGCAGCTTCATCCAATGGCATTAAAATGTAAAAACCGCCAATTTTCGACTTGAGCGGTGTTGTTAGCTAAGGGACGATATTGTTGATTGGAACTCCGTTAATCTTAATTCCTCCATTTTCTCCTTCCAGGGCCATTTGAAATATCTTTTCGACGTATATATTAAAAATTATTGGTGACAGTATACAGCCCTGGCGGACTCCCTGGACACACATTGAAGGTGTCTGTGGATAAATTTTTGTTAACTCTTATCACCGCGGTTTGGTTCCAATATAGTTCCTGTATGATTCTAATGTCTTTGGCGTCTATTCCTAGCTCGAGCAGTGTGTTTAGGAGAATATCGTGTTTAACGTTGTCGAAAGCCTTCTGATAATCTATGAAGCACACAAAGACATCTTGGCGTTGATCATAACATTTCTGGATTAGTAGCTTGATTGAAAACAAAGCCTCTCTGGTACCCAGCCCCTTGATGAAGCCGAACTGTGTCTCTCCGCTTTTTTTTTCACATTTCGAGTATATACGAGCATACATGACTCGAAGAAAAAGTTTCAGAGCATGACTCATTAGACTTATAAGTCTGTGTGTCACTACAGTCTTTTGGAGATGCCTTTTTGGGAATTGTTATAAAAGTTGATTTTAGCCAGTCGTTTGGAATTTTACCCGTATCGTATATTCGATTGAATAGATATGTGAGATGCTTTGAGTCAAATATTTTAAGAACTTCTGCATGCACGTTGTCATGACCGGGACTTTTTCGATTTTTCATAGTATTCATAGCATGCTGAACTTCAGATTCAAGAATTTCCGGGCCCGACCAGTCTTCACAATTGAGAGGTGGTCTGTCTTCTCTTTGGTCTTCAAATAATAATTGTGCATAGCTTTTCCATGTGCTGCATAGATCTACCGGGTCTAAAATCAATTTCCCATTGAGAAACAAGAATTTTTATATATCTTTTGTATTGTGTGATTTAATCTAATTAGTTTAAGAGATTCTCAGTTTGGTGATAGGGACGCTATCGTAAGCTTTCTGGAGATCGACAAACATTAGGTGTACACCTTATGCTCTATTTACCAGTGCATTACCAGTGTAAAAGGAAACATAGCCTGTTAGGTAACATGTTTTCTGTCAATATGTCTGTGCTGTTATGATGTCAAACAGCGTCATCTAGCTACCACAAAAAAATCTATTGTTTCTACTTCTTGGCTGCTTATAGCAAACAAACTGAGCGATAAACTAATGAGCTTCCACGCGACTGATTAGTTGGTTAAATCCTTGTCTATATATTAAATTGTTAAGTTATTCATAATCAAGGGTTAAATTAAAGTAGTCGATTTAGCGACCATCGACCTATAAAGGGTTAACAAAATCTTTAAGGCATCGACTAGGTCTTGAGGAGAAATTGTACGTGTATAGCTACCTTTACGTATATGATTAACATTTTCTTCCATAAGTAAACAAACTTATTTTCTGAATTAACTCCGCATCCCCACCCAAACACCGGTTTGTTTACACCGGCGTTCATAATGTATAAAACCCTGGGTTTAATTGAATCTGTTAACAATATCATTGATAACTTCGTCGAGTAACTTTCAAGTATATTATTATAGTTCTGATAAAATTAGAATAGTGTTTTTTGGACCTTTGCCAGTCGAGCAGATTATGTGAACAATTTTTTAATACAAGTGTCGCGTATTTAATTGTTTCTTTATTTTTTTTTGTCATAATGTCGCTTTTGGAAAATTGCACAAACTCTAGTGAATGTGATGTAGTAACTTCGGTTTTTGTACGCTTATCTGATGAGAAAAATATCAAAAATGTTTGGGAAACAGAAGCCCTAATTGACTTTGTTAAGGGTGTAGGGCGAATGTTTTACATTGTCAGTCCAGCAGAAACGACTTTTTCGAACGCCAAAGATGTACCGAATTTTTTCCGAAATGTAAGTTTAATATATGTACTGATATTTTAGAATAATTTTATACGGGGTGGTCCGAACTGTATTCCGGAAACTTTCGCAGCATATTCTGCAGATAAAAATAAGTAAAAACGTTCGTATTAGTTTCGAAGATACAGGGTGTAGAAATTTCATTTTTATTTCGATTTTTTCCAAATAATTTCTGAAGTAACGTCAATATTTGGATGAAAATTGGTGTCTGGGAGTTTTTTGACATGAGAAATTTGATTTTCATGTCAATATGACTCCTACTAGTAGAGGGCGCCACCTACATATTTTTTAACTGGTTTGAAGAGTAATAACTTTTCTTCCGTACCTGTATAAAACTACTGAGTAAAAAAATATACATTAAGACGTTTTTTTACGTGAAAAAGGTCTCTTGGTAAAAATCTCTACGAGTAATGGTTTTCGAGATATTTGGAATCGAAATTATCAATACCTGTCATCATTGACATAAATTAAACAATAATGTTGACTAAATAGGTAGTTATTAGACTGAAATCATGAATTTGATATGGTTTTGTGCCAAAAGTTCAACAAAAACTGGTTTATCGTAATTTTTTGCAGAAAAATTTATGGTTAATTTAAAAAAATATTGTAATTGTCTATTTCTATTGTAAATATCTTAAGAACGGTTGCTCGTAGCGATTTTTACAAAGAGATATTTTTTACGTAAAAAGTCACAGAGATGTATATTTTTTCGCTCGGTAGTTTTATACAGGTACGGAAAAAAAGATATTACGCTTCAAAACAGTTAAAACACATGTAGGTGAAGCCCTCTACTAGTAGGAGTAGGAAATTTCTCATGTCAAAAACTCCGAGACACCAATTTTCATCAAAATATTGACGTTACTTCAGAAATTATTTAGAAAAAATCGAAATAAAAATGGAACTTCTACACCCTGTATCTCCGAAACTAAGTATTTTAGGACATACATTTATACGAACTTTTTTACTTATTTTTATCTGCAGAATATGCTGCCGAAGTTTCCGGAATACAGTTCGGACCACCCTGTATATTAATTTAAGTGCAATATTAATTGCAATTCACTGATCTATGAATTTTATCAGAAAATTACGATGACACGTCTGTGATAATGGATTAAAAATAGTTTCAACCACTTTAATATTAATAATATATTAGATTCACATTGAACAATAATAATTTGAGCGCATAGTGATTAGAGTGAACGTAGTTGTAATAAAAATTTGAAACAAAATATCTGTATATAATAATTATTGTAGGTACCAAAAGTGAAAGGAAATTTTTTTAAACTTAAATTTGGGTTACAGAATGTTGTAATCTAATGTTCATTTAATTTCCAAATTCAAATTGATTTGATATTCACTAATTATATAGGATATAATAGTTTTATTAATTATCAAATGTTATATTAACAAATTATTTTGTTATAGGTATCAGGATAACTTGATTTTTGATTTTTAACTTTCTTAAAGAAGTTATATGCTATTTGGAGATAATATTTTGATATTGTTCCTATACAGGGTTGTTCACCACATAAGACACGGAGTATTGTAGCTAAACGATGAGATTTTTACAAATTGTAAGTTTGGGGTTCGTTGAAGGACTATTAGAGCTACAATTTAAACATATTTTTACAAGATACAGAGTGTCCCAAATAAATAAAAAATATCAAAGTTGTATTTTTTTAAATGGAACACCCTGTATATTATTACATTTTTAGTTTCTACGATTAAAATAAAGGTAAATTTGATTAAGGTTTATTATACTTAAACCTTACCGTTTTTGAAATATTTTCAATTTTGTGAAATTGCAGTAAAATTTTAAAGCTTCATTTCCAAGTGTATCAATGTTTTTAATACTAAATATTTAATGAAGTTTATTTATTGATCAGTTATTGTGTTGCAATAATAAAATACTACCTTATACAGAGGGTCTAAAAATTTATTTTTAAATAATTATTAGCTTCAAACGGCAATAACTTCTTTAATTTAAATGGAATGCCCTGTATATTTTAGGAGAATCAGATGCACAATTAAATTGTCTATCAAATTGTATTATACCATTTTTTACCTATCCTTCAAGTTTTCGTAGAAATGCATTTTCTTATAATTTAGACCTCATTTATCAATATATCCATGGAATATTGACATTTTAGATTGTTTTTAAAGCAACAAATGTACAATGTACAGACTAGTAATATTATCGTTTTTAGCAAAACGATAATACTACTAGCCCATTTGTATGCAAAAAGAAAACTATTTAAATCTTTATAAAAGAGTATACCATTAATTAAATATAACACCATTATTTCCGCCCATATACTAATTAATTACATACTTAATTGTGTTCGTTAATAAATTATTATAATAAATGTGGATTTTAGTCAGAAATCAATATAATAATAAGTTATCAAATTAGTCTCTGTTGTTATAAATAAGCTTTTATTAAAAAATGAAATATCATTTTTAAGGTGTTACTTTTTATCACACTGTCTAATGCCCATACAAAATTCAGTTTTTTAGTATTTGGAGCAATTATTATTCATCAACGCAAACAGTCAGTTAATGAAATTTGAATACTGGAATCATATTAATTGGTCCTCTTTAACAAATATTTAAACAGTTTTTTTTTATTTTTTAATGAAATAAACGAATTATATCGACAATATTAGTATCTGTACTTTTTAAAAATTTGGTACATCTTTAAAAATAATCTAAAATGTCAATAGTCCATGGGTATATTGATAAATAAGTTCTAAATTACAAGAAAATGCATTTTCTACGGAAACTTAAAGAGATAGGTAAAAAATGGTATAATATAATTTGATAGACAATTAAATTGTGCATCTGATTCTCGTAAAATATACAGGGTGTTCCGTTTAAATTAAACAAGTTATTGCCGTTTGAAGCTAATAATTATTTAAAATAAATTTTTAGACACTCTGTATAAGGTAGTATTATTTTTGTTATTGCAACACAATAACTGATCAGTAAATAAACTTTAGTAAATATTTAGTATTAAAAATTTTGATACCCTTGGAGAAATGAAGCCTTAAAATTTTTACTGCAATTTCACAAATTTGAAAATATTTCAAAAACGGTAAGGTTTAAGTATAAAAAACCTTAATCAAATTTATCTTTATTTTAATCCTAGAAACTAAAAATGTAATAATATACAGGGTGTTCCATTTAAAAAAATACAACTTTGATATTTTTTACTTATTTGGGACACTCTGTATCTTGTAAAATTATTTTTAAATTGTACCTCTAATAGTCCTTCATCGAACCCAAAACTTACAATTTGTAAAAATCTCATCGTTTAGCTACAATACTCCGTGTCGTATGTGGTGAACAACCCTGTATATATATCATTGACATATATATTTATATACAGGGTCAGTCTTAAATAAACGTAAATCTTTTTTAGGGGCAGTATCAAAAAACTATTTCATAGAGACACGTCTGAGTTTTTTCTGTGAAGAAATAATTATTTATTAAATTCTTAAATTTTCAGTAAAAAATATAATCTCTTGACAATATGGCAACATAGGTAGTAGATTAAATTTAGAAAAAACCCTGCAATTCTCAACATTTAACAAATAAATTATATATTTTTTTAATTTTTAAAGTAAAATAATAATCCATCTGTACTACCAGCCCCAAACAGCTCTGTTTAGCACTCACCCTGTATGTTACATAATATTTTTATGGCAGCTCTATATTAAGAATATCATAAGAATAAATAATAAAATATTTACTCTATGATCGTACTTGTTTATATAGTATGTTCGATTCACTAATCAAATGACCTTTTTCAATATTATTAATTAAACCACAAAAATAATGGTTATATTTAGATATAATATGAAAATTCAAATTTATACTTTGGAATATTATATAAACTAGTAAACAAAAGTGATAAGAAGTACAAAAATCCAACAGATACACAGAGAGACATCTTTGCCATTTATGAGCTTTGGTTTGATAGAATATTGTCAGCCCCGGGGGACTACAGTTTTTTTGAACAGGGGTAGAAACTTGATAGTAGCGCCCCCTCTATCCAGCGTTTGATAATATAATAACTTTTTCATTTGTGTGACATAAAATTATATACATATAGGAAGTTATTTATTTTTAACCATATATAATGATTTTGGCTCTTTCTAAATCGGAGGCTGCGTATTGTTAAAAAATAATAGAATAATATAATACAAAAGAAACATAGAATACGTAAACAAATACCGTATACCATAATTGACAATATTACCTAAGTACATAATAATGCAAAACTATAAGTACTCGGGAATTTTCGTTTTCGGGAAGTATGTACAGCTGGTTCCAAAAAAAATGAATATGACTCTTTAGACATTTTTTTGAACATTTGGGCAGTGTATATTTATGTGTCAAGTATTTTGACATTTTAAGGTTATTGTGACATTGTATAAAACAACTTTGCTTTTGACAAAGTGGCAGATAAATTTTTTAGAACGTCAGCATGACATGAGTAGAGAAATGGCAGACTGGTATCATAGAATATACTGCCCGAAATAATAAAAATATGTTTTAAATCGTATTCAATTTTATTGGAACCAGCTGTACAAAAGTGATTTTGTAAGAGTTACAAAAGTCTTAGAGAAGATTTTAATGATTTATTCGTGTTTTCTATTATTAGCTAAAATAAACAATAATAAACTTTATCAAGTTGTACTTAATTTTCTGCAAAATAGTGAAAATATGTATGTAAATAGTATAGGTGTATACCGGGTGCGTCACAAAAGTGGCTCACCCCTATAACTTTTTTATTTTGTTAAATAAAAAGAAGAGATTTGGTATGCTAGTATATGACATAAATTAGGATTAACGTATTCAATTGTTTTCGGTCACTTCCTGTTTCACCGGAAATGACTACAACTTTTGATTTTTAAATGACACCCCCGGTATATTTTTACATCATTCGATAGAAAATAACACTCTGAATTGAATGACATATCATATATATGTCAACTTTTGGCATTTTCGCATATATAAAATTATAACTTGCATATTTGAAATTATAACTTGCGGTGCGTAACAAAAATTTCACTCGAAATACCAAGTGTGTGGTATCAAATGATTCGTAATTTTTTTTTAATTCCATTTGAAAAAATTGATATAATTAAAAAAACGATTTGAGCATTTTTTAACTGGCAAGGACAAGACATTAAAAACATTAGATGATCAAATATATTGTTCCAAGGCTCCTTGATTAAGAATTAGTGTTTTTAACATAGCCATGGCACTCTAGATTGAATTTAAAATACGATTTTTTATTAAACGAGAATGTCAAAAGTTGACATATGATATGTCATTCTATTCAGAATGTCATTTTCTATCGAATAAAGTAAGAAAATACCGAGGGTGCTATTTAAAAATCAAAAGTTGTAGTCATTTCCTGTGAAACAGGAAGTAGTCAGTAACAATTGAATACGTCAATCAATCCTAATTTATGTCATACATATATTAACATACCAAATCTCGTTTTTTTATCTGAAAAAATAAAAAAGTTATAGGGGTGAGCCACTTTTGAGACGCGCCCGGTATATCCGTACAATAATATTTAAATTTTTGATAAAATTTATTTAAATTTTACAAAATTAATATTCAAATCTGTCTCTAATAGAAATAAAAATAGCTGTTACTACTATTAAACTAAAATTAAAATCCATTTCCGAGTAGATTAATTTAGTAATTACAGCTACGGAAATAAATTAAAATATGTTAAAACTGATTATTAAATTTAAATTAATTGTTTGGTATATATTTTATATTTTTTGAATTTTTCCAGGCTTGGCCATACTTCCTGCTGTTCATGATCGTAGAAAATATACTCCTTTGGATAGAAAAAAAGCCTTTGGTACGATTGAACGACAGCATAACTAGTCTTTCTCATGGACTGATTAAAGAATGTGGAAGGTAGGTTTATTTATCTTAGTTGATAAAATTGGTATCATAAAATGCACTTTACGACTTTTATATTTATATATTGTCAATTATATAACCACAAAAAATGTAAAAATAGAGTATATTAATTAACACAACAATAAAGTGTGCAACAATAATACAACCAAAGTGATTACATTATGCTTATGTACTTTTTTAATTTTTTTTTCTATGTATTATTCAATTTCTTTTAATCAATTGTTAATTTAATTTAATTGCTTTATATAACCGTTAAATCTGATTAAACTTAGCAAGAAACTTGAAAAATAAAATAAAAAATAGACTAATAAATATTTATTTTAATTATTTCAGACTTCTTTTTCGGAGTTCCGAAAGCTACCTCTACTTTTACATATACGAACATTTTCGTATATGTGACTTACCTTGGGATATGCCCATAACATGGTACCTTGCCGCCATTGGTGTCGACTTTTGTTACTATTGGGTTCACAGAGCGTGCCATGGTAAGTAATCTTATAATTAAACCATATTCCATATATAAAAAATAAAAAATCGGTAAAAATACTTTTAAGTTAAACGGTTTTATCTTATGTGCACTGAAAACTAGACAATAATAATAACAATTAGGTATTTTGAACTTCTAGTTCAGAAATATTTTAGTACTAGGCAGAATAGCTTTTAGGCATATTAGACTAAAATAAAAACGTGGGGTCCCTCTGAAATCCTACCTATGGCAAAGCATATCTTTATACTTTGGTAGATCATGAGCTCGGCGTTCGCTGGTGAAGCCGCCACGGCTGGTTATTGATTGTCAAAATCTCCAGTTACGATTATAGTAAGTCGATGCAATCCACACTTAGTATAGAAGAAAGTATTACAGCAATAGTTAATGGGCCCCACGTTTTTATTTTAGTCTAATATGCCCTAAAAGCTATTCTGCCTACGATTATAGTAAGTCGATGCAATCCACACTTAGTATAGAAGAAAGTATTACAGCAATAGTTAATGGGCCCCACGTTTTTATTTTAGTCTAATATGCCTAAAAGCTATTCTATAGTATAAATATTTCTGAACTAGAAGTTATATATATATGTATATATTATTATTTTCTAATTTTCAGTGCACATAAGATAAAACCGTTTAACTTAAAAAGTTTTTACCGATTTTTATTTTCTAGTTTTTAGTATTTAACGGAAATGCCTACCGAATATTCCTCATTCTATTTAATTCATTTAGTGCATCATTATTACATGGTTTTGGATAATTTATTACAATCTGACGCTCAGGTGTTTCTGACGCTAACAACTCTCTCTGTCTGTCGCGTTCTGATGCTAGCCTAGACTCATGACGCTCAGGTGTTTCTGACGCTAACAACTCTCTTTGTCTCTCTCGTTGTGATGCCAGCCTATACTCACGACGCTCAGGTGTTTCTGCCGCTAACAACTCTCTCTGTCTGTCACGTTGTGATGCTAGCCTGGACTCATGACGCTCAGGTGTTTCTGACTCTACCAGCTGCCTTTGTCTCTCACGTTGTGCTATTAACCTGGCATCATGTTGCTCAGGTGTTTTTGTTGCTAACCGTTCTCTTCGTTTCTGTAGTCGACTATAAGTTTCATTTTCACTTTTTTGCACGTTTCGTTCTACACTTTTCTTTCGCCTTTTCGAGCCTTCTTTTTCGTTGTGTAGCAGTTTCGTTTTTATTTTGTTTGTTTTTTTATTTATTGTTTCCATGTTGTTCCCACGAGTAATGGACATTTTAACGGTCGACCCCCCCCAGAGGTTCAGTAGAGGGGCAAGGCTATAATATACAACAAGAGGCGCCCAATCTTGAGGGGAAAACGCTTGCGACATTACATTTTTAGCCACCCTAATGCCATACAGTCCTCAGCACGTTTTAACCTATTACCTTAACTTGGGTGGTAAAGCTACCGCTAACTATGTAGGTACATCTAATCACCTATTTTCTTTATCTGTCCTTCTAACGTCACACAATCTTGGACACAACTGTTCATCTCGGACACGACTACTCATGCCCTCACCTAATACGCCATTTTGTAACGACGTCCATCTTGGATTTTAAATTTTGTCATAATCACAGTATTCTACTAGTGTAGCCCTTTCATTTGATACCCATATTGAGGGGGTTGTGGAAAAATACGAAATCCGCCATTTTGTACCGGCGGCCATCTTAGATTTACAATGTTATTGATATTACTATATTGTATTGTCATCGGAACTAAAGGTATGTACTAAATTTTAGATCAATCTGATCAGGAAGGTACTTAAATTTCAATTTCTAATTTTGATCCAAATAAACAAACAAATAAATAAATACCGTACCAAACCAAACCAAAAACCGTTTAATAATAAAAAATCCTCCAAAAAAGTCCTCGTAGATGAATATGTCTATTACAATCACAACTTATTCAATACCCAGCTGGTTAACTCTGCACATTTTCAAGACTGCGTTTCACCTACTGAGCAGTTGTTTTTAATTTAATTATTGTTTCAGAAGTTCATATTTTGTGGGCTCAACACCAAGTGCATCATAGTTCAGAAGATTATAACCTAGCTGTCGGTCTAAGACAATCAGTATTGCAAGGATGGTGTGGATTTGTAAGCAAAATGTTCTTCTTCGTTTTTTTTTATTTGTAACAATTTATTTTTATTTCCAGGCCTTTTATCTGCCTCTTGCTTTAATTATACCACCATCGCACTTCATAACCCATCAACACTTCAACCTGTTGTTCCAATTCTGGATTCACACCGAAACCGTTAGCACATTAGGACCATTAGAATGGATATTCAATACCCCAAATCATCACAGAGTACATCACGGCAGCAATATATACTGCCTAGACACAAACTATGGAGGTGTGCTGATTATTTGGGACAGAATATTTGGTACTTTCGCTAAAGAGAAAGAAGACGAAGAAATCATCTATGGCTTGGTATATAATCAACCGTCGTTTAATGTACTCCATCTACAGGTAATTTCTGCAATACCATCAAAATGTATTGTGCGTCTAATAAAGAATGTCATATTTTTACAGACTTTTTATACACATTATGTAATAACGAAATTCAACGCAATGAAATCTTGGAGGGAAAAATTGGCTGCAATATTTTACGGACCTAGTTGGCAACCTGGCAGACCTAGATTAGGCACAGAGGAAGATAAAGTCAAGGTAGATACATATTATTTATTAAAGTTTGAGTGATTTGATTTGCAACGTATTCAAATCATGACTAATAAGGATTGCCTCCTTTATTGGCTTGGTGCATTTTGGTTTATTTTAAAATTAATTTTCAAATTTTTATACCAAAGTTTATTTTACGAATTTGGTTTTGTTTTCTTAGTTTTTAATTGTCCTGCATAAAAAATTAAATCCCTGCATAATAAATACTAGTTGAATGGATTTATATCAAACCATACTGAGTGCTAATAAAAATATCGTTTACAGATTTCTCTTAAGAGCAATAAAAGAACATTGCTTTTAAATAATGTCCGTGGACCATACTTTTGTTGACATCGGGTCAATTAATAATTTTCCCAAGCGGATATATTGATAATGTTACCAGTATTACTCATAAAGCAATACTACTCTTAACATATCATATACAATTTTATATACTAATTCATTATAATAAAATTTAATCATAAAAATATGGTAATTATATTACTGCAGTTTAAGTGAAGTTTTGTTCCTAAATATCTACTATACAATAATAAACGCGTGTTCAAATATTAATTTTGTGGAATATAGCTATTTTAGAAACGTCTGGGTTTACTTATTTCACTGAAATTTATGAAAAAAAAATCCTTTGCCTCGGATACAGATACCGCGAGGTTTTGGATATAGCTCGTAACAAAACAAAATTGAACGAGGCAATAAAAACGCAAAAAAAATCTCTCACGAGTAGTTTTCAGGCGCTTTTAAGAATCGAAAGTAGGTCGAGGCAAACCGAAGTGGATCAAGACAACTGGAAATAAATCGAAATATAACCTATGTTATTTTTTTAAAACCGCTGTTTACAGTATTCTCCGATGGTGGCAGCACCGGCGGAGAATGCACCAAGCCCATAAAGTTATTTTACATTTTTCTAAAAAATTATCAATCGTCTAAATAATTTAATATAATGAATGAATAATATATTTCATTTTTTTATTACTATTTTTCATTTCTTTTGCAGGTGACGAAAAGAACAAAATATGATGTTCAACTGTCTTTGTGGTGTAATCTCTATTTGATGGTGCATTTCTCAGTAATGGTTTATGGTTTTCACCAATTAGCTTTAAGATATATGGTAAGCATTACTAACGACACTAATACCGTATGATCAAAAAAGGCCTCTAGTTGGCTTGGAAATAATGATCGATGAGATTTCCCATATAATTTTACATACGAAATAACAGCGATATTCATCTCTAAGCCATCTCTGACGCAGTTTTTTTTTTATCATAATCATATTCGAAGTTAAAATGAAACTGATTTTTTATGTAATATGCCTGTAATATTATAATAATATTATTACTATTAACACATATAAATAATCTTTTTAATTGCAGGCTCTAAGTCCCATCAGCGTATTGGCCTTCGTGATTTACATTATCGCTTCACTGACCAACATCGGGATGCTGTTCGACAAGCACAAGTTCGCTCCAGTGTTCGAAGTGCTCAGATGCATGATCCTGGTCACAGTTGTACAGAGAATGAGCTTTCCAGACATCGATTCGTCTACGCTACTGCTCGCAGAAGTGTTCTTTTTACTGTCAGGCATATTTTGGTTCCTTCAGAGCATCAGTATTCTCGAGATTTCGTCGACCTTAAAAACAACTTCACGAAAAAGGGACTAGATCCAAAATATGTGTACATTTTACTTAACTAAAAAGTTGTAATTTATTTATTTATTTTATATGTAATACCTACATATATTACAATACAGTATAACAAAGCTATGTTCCTTCGTTTTAAGAAGGTAAAATTAGTACTGTATGTAACAGTGTTCAAAATTCGCCAGTAATTAAAATATTGATTTTAAGTATTTTTAGTGACTAAGTGATATTTTTGTGATAATTTATTTATTGTGTACTTTAGCTATTAGTTTGTCTTTGTTAAAACTTTTAAGCAATAAATTGATACTCATAATGTATGTATATTAGTTTTTAGTAAAAAACCTGAATGCCTAAAGTAATTCCAACATAGTTAAATAAAACACCAAAAATTACATAATAATGTATAGTAGGAGAGCTATAGTAAACGCCACGAATGTTTGGGAGTGATTCATCGGTCGCTACCATGTGACCTAATCTGTTCAAGGTTACATAAAACTTAATTCCAGTGCCGTGGTGTTTCAAATCATATAATAATCAATATATAATCTGTTGTAATCTTTGAATAAGAAGACTAAGGAAGGAGCATATCAAATATCTTAGGTACACCGCGATGGGCCTCAAATATGGCCGATTTAAATTCCGGTTTATCAGTGTCGTTCTAATTTTATTTAAAAAATGTAAAATTATGATGTAGGATAGACGTGGGGTAGACTCAATAACTTGTTTTATTTTACGTTGTGAATAAATGTTGGTAGTTATTAAAATTGTTATAAAAATATATAATTCTAATAAAAATAGATAAGTTATAATAAGTATTTATTACCACAAACATCCGATACGCTACTGTTACTATCTAAATTCTTTGACATCTAATCTTTGACAAATAATAAATAAAAGCTAAAATGCAAGAAAAATATATAATTTAGTTAATTTAAGTGAATTTCATAAATGATCGGTTTACTACACGTATGTATATTATATAGTCACTTACTAGCGAAAAGTTGTTCCATTATTTCACTCAATTTTTGCCGAGATCTACCGCACGCTACACAACCAACTATTTTAGAGTCTTTTCGATAAATCGCGATAGTGTCACTGTTAATTTAAGTGCTGCCACAATTTCCATCTAGATTTACTACCTTTATACAACTATCAGTAGTAGAATAAATAATAAATAACATAAAATAAGCTCCGTAAAGACTGACAAATCCACAAAATTTCAAATCAAATTCAAATGTGTCAAATGAATCGTCAAACAGAACTGTCAAGGATCCCCACCCTAGAGTGCTTTTATGGAGGTTTTTCCGCCCACCATGCATGAATACATGGATAGCATTATGCTCCTTCAGCCAGACGGGCCGCATGCTGTTCTAGAGAGCATAGTAAAAGATATATCAAAGAGCCAGACGTCTTAAAATACATTCTCGAAAACGTTGCTGGCCTTTAGAGTTAGGTTACCTGGGATATGACGATCAATGATTCACCAAATCATTTTACATATGTCACCATTCATAAGTTCTAAAGTAACTTGACGCCGGTTTTTTCTCGATCGTATGATCTTTAAAACAATGGGAGTAAAAGTACAGTATATTCAAAGTCTTATTCTCATAGGACTTAAATTTTGACATGACCATATAAATTCCTTTTTACCCCCACTATATTTTCTTTTTTCTTAAATGTGCAGTACAGTTTGATCGAAAAAAAGGCGTCAAGTTTGCTTGGAAATTATGATCAATGATTCACCATTTAATTTTACATATAAAAAAGACAGCGATCTCTATATTTAAGCCAACTCTAACAATAATAACTGCCACAATAATTTTATAATTATTAGCAGACATTTCCTTATACCGAGTGTAAACTATACAGAGTGACACACCGTTTCTCGAAAGACTTGGATAGTCTTAACTATTTAAAAAAAGAACACGTGAAAAGAATGATCCAATTGATATTAAAATTAAAAAGATGACACTAAGTATCTTCCAATTTAATTGGCGATAAATTTGGGTAGTTTAAGTAACTTTTAATGCTTTTATAACCTGAAGTTGCATAAATATTAAGAATATTAAAATAACAAAAAACAAAAAAATCCTTTTATGTGCATACAGTTTTAGAATTGAATTAAGATGCATTAGAACCTTATATTATGCAAATAGATTAGTCATAAAAACTGATACTTCGATAAAAAAATATGAAATCAGACTTTGACCGTAACAGGAGATATCTACTCGTATATTATAGTATCATTTAATAATTAGATCATTTAAATAATTCTCTATAAATACGTTAATCCAATACCGCGTGTATTATGATAATTTCTCTTTATGATAATGTCGTATTTATGAATATGCAATGATCTTAATTCCAGTAAAATATAACACAATAAATTAACTCAAAAAATGCACGTTCAAAGTACGTATCATTATGTGAATACAGTAAAGAATGGAAAATTCGAGATTTCAAACGTAAGATGCTCTATAACAATGATATTTTGTGGATTATAAGAATTTTGGAATAAGAGACAGTTTAAACGAACAAATTGTGGAAATAGAGATTAAGAAATTTCGATGCTATTTTTCTTTTTATAGTCTTGGTGCATTTCAGTTGATTTCAAAAAATTCCGACCGCAGCGCTGTATACGGCAGTAATCAGAAATTTTCGCTATGTATTTTACGCCCTCCCGCCCCGATTACAGTTCATGTTGATCGCATTAAAATAATATTGAAATCGTGGTTATGTCATAATATTTAAGTATTTTAGTTTTCTTCTAATGCAGTTATTGAAACGATGAAACAGTCAGGTACGAGGTCTGTGTAATGTAACGCTGTTTCGGGTAGTAAAAATAAGTGAAGAAGAATTCGAACTAGGCGTTGTGTTGTGGTTGTGAGAATTTCAAATGTTAATAAGATTGCCGAAAAAATATTAACGGGTAAAGGAGAGCGTAATTAGGACGTTGTTGGGTGCAATAACATTCAAACTCAACTTTCCCGGATATTCAACTCTCCCGAAACATTTTATAGCTTCATAGTTTCTCACACCGATTTGATCAAAAGCAAAAATGACGAAATAAAAGAGTAAACGAAGGGCACATTACATAGTAAAAAAAATAAATAGACATATACTACGAAAGGACAAAATATAATTTGTAATATTCAGGGTATACTTTTTATTACAGTTGAGGGTTGGAACCTTTGGTGTTACACAGCAAAATAAAAACACTAAATCACCACAATACACCAAAACACTTTTACTTTTACACTGGACGCGCGTTTCGCATTTGATATCTATAGGAAAAATACCACTACACGCAGATATGTTCCTAATGAATCATGTCATTGTGTTGAACATAAAATGGCTAGTTTAAATTTCTTAGTTCATAGATTACTTAGTTTTCCACTTTCCAGCGAAATATATGAAATAGAAAGAGATTACATTAGGAATGTAGCTGAGTGTAATGGATATTCTCCTTCACTAGTTGATAAAATAATTAGAAAACGTAGGTATAGGATAATGATATCTGAAAATTCGACTTTTCAAGTGGAGAAGGATACGTCAAAATATTTTTCAATAACGTTTGATAGAGAGTTATCCCGTGGTCTAAAAGAAATTTTTAAGAATGTCAATTATAAACTTGTGTATAGTGCTAATAATAAATTACAACAATTATTAGGTAATCCAAAGGATAAAACACCTCCACTGGAAAGGTCGGGTATTTATGAAATTTCTTGTAAAGATTGTAATGAGACATATTTTGGGCAAACTAGAAGATCAATATTAACTAGATTTAAAGAACATTTAGCTCAGATAAGATATGGTAGACCGGATAAATCTTGCGTTGCCGAACATATTGTTTATAAAGAACATTGTATAGATCTTAATAGTTTAAAATTAATTAAACAAGTCTCAAATTACAGGCATTTAGATGTATATGAAAGCATCAGAATTAATAAATGTAAAGATAGTATGAACAGAGACAACGGTCCAATTCCTTCAAGTTCTTTGTTCCTACTACTCTAGTGGCGGAAATTTAACTGTTACGCTCGGTGGGCTCTGACTCGGTTGGCTAGATCTTGCCACGTCCACTCGGTGCCCACTGAGCGAGTGTAAAAACGCTCAACTTGTAGATTGTATTTTAGTTTATAATCATCTGCTGATGATGCTATCGTGGTTAGCGAAACGCGCGTCCAGTGTAAAAGTAAAAGTGTTTTGGTGTATTGTGGTGATTTAGTGTTTTTATTTTGCTATACTTTTTATAATCAACTAGTGATTGAATGTTTTATGGACATCTAAAATTATAATGGGATTGTAGATAGGCTTAAATATCCTAGACTTTCATTGCACAACAAAAGCTTAACTAATATGAAGTAATACAAAAAAAACTTAATAAACACTTATATCAACAATTTATTAATGTCATATTAGCGAAAACAAGAACTTCCGAGTATATCTAATACAATACGTCTGCTAGATCTGTGTCTATGAAAGGAATGCGGACAAAAAAACATTTAAATAAACAGCAATATATTTTATACGTCGACTTGACGAGTACGTCACCGCAAATCGCTTCGCCCACTCATTTTATTGGCTACTTGCAAATTCGTCTAATTTTTTACGAAAAACATCGAGAGAATATCGTTTCCCCTCTCACGGATACCCCGTAGCTATAGAACGGACAGACGTACTGTACGTGAACAAACTAACTTAAAAAAATAATGTTTTATTGTCGGTTTTAAGTACGTTATTTAAGTAAAGATACTACACAAAGCTAAGTAATCATTCAAACAAGTACATCTTATAATACTTCTTTTCAAACAAAAAAGAGGTGTTAAGATAACTATTCGCTTTATTTACATAACCTCATAAAATCTCTAAATCAGCTTAAAATGAAGCACATTACTTGCACATTAACAGATATTTTATAATCCTAAAATAAACATAAACCGGCGATACATTTCATTCTTGATTCAACATATTTATGTTATTTTCGTTAAATAATAATTGTTTTGTTATAGCTTATAAAAATTGTAAGATAGTACTGGTAGACGGACAACAAGCAATAATTTAGATCCTTCAAAAACTGATAATAATATTAATCACTTTTTGCTCATTATTAAACCCCATGTTAAGTAATAAATATTTTTTCCAGATTTTTTTTTAAATTCACTAAAGAAACAATAGTGTATTATGAATAGACTTAATGTATTAACCTTCCTAAAATTAATAGAACTAAAAAATGAAAATACATTACTGAAGATGAAGAACAGAAGATTTTAGTTAATATTTATGTTATAAAAAGTACATAAAATAAGCGGTGATGCGACTAACT